CCTATTTATCTAACTCGCAGCATGGACTGATCATCATGACTATAGATACAAAAATAAATAAAAGTAGATGGATGTATAGATTTACTTTAGCGATTAGTATTAGTAACTGACAAGAAAGGGAACATTCATGTGCGTGGGCATGTACTATAGTTGTTACTTGTTATCAAATACTTATTATTTGAATCGTGTTTGTAACATCGAATTTTTATATACAATATATTTTTTTTGACTGATTTTATATACAATATCTTACACTTATCTTGTAAACAGATTTGATGATTATCACTATGTATATGTTCGAGTAAATGCTCCAGAATGTTAAAGGTTGATTGATTATCTGATTAAAATTAAGTGATTTCTTCTTTTCCATTGGAAGGGATGTGTTGACTAAGTTTATACTTGTGAAATTATTAAAACTTTTTGAAGAAGTTTATATAGTTGTGTAGTGGTTGCATAATTATTGCTAAATACAAGAAGACTGGAAAGTACAAAGTTCTGTATGCATAGTCTGCAGAATAAATTTGTAGAATACATATATGAATCATATTTGAGACTTGTATAAAAGAAAACATATTTATGTTGGAGTTTAAGAATAGAGTCCAAGATAAAGAATTAAACATTGCTATTTATATTTGTTTGGCCAATCAGTGCTATTTAAATTTTATTTTAAGCATTGTTATGTATTTAATTTTTATTTTTATTTTCTGTACATGTGTTGGAATAGTTTTTAATCTTTTTTCTACTCTCTCAGCTTATTAATTGACAAAGATAATAAATAATGTAGTACTAAATGTGATCCAAGAGAACAAAAAATTGTTTTCATAATATGTTTTAAAGTTTTAAATGAAACTTTTTTTTGGAGCAAAAGGTTTGAAATGAAACTAAGAAGTATGTGGCAAGAATGAAACCTATAAAAAGCCCTTTTAAAAAAGAAAAAAGATTGAAACCTATAAAAAAATTATCAACAAGCTGAACACATGCTATGCAAAAGCTGCATCTACTTTTTGTGTTTGATTATAAAATTTACAAAAGTATAAATTCCGCAGGGCTTTCAGGACACCAGATAAATATTTATTTTATATGGTGATGGACTTTTCTACCCTTGTAATATAATAAGAATGGTGACATACTTAATTAGTGTAAGAAACGGATTAACAAGTACAATATATTAAAGAAATGAAAAGAAAGCGTTTTTCTTTTAAACGGACAAAGATTCCTACTCTGGTTGCTTTTAGACCACACACAAATGCTACACAGTACTTCTGGGTCCCACTTCTCTAGCAAGTGCGTTGCCAACACGTGAATTTTCTCCTCCTTCATTTCTGGTTTATCATATCGTCTCCTCGACATATTTCGTGTCTAACCCTTGCTCAAATAAACATTAATAGCACCGTTAATCCTTGTTTATTTATTTGTTTATTTTTGGCAGTTCTAACGTTTTGAGTATTAACGTTTAACCTGATGTTGAAATGCAAAAGAGCATATATCGTGGCGTCGATCGTTAATCATAACATACACTATTGTTTGGACAATTATTTTTGTATTTGGTGCATCTGTGGCATAGTTTGATCAAAGAGCAATAAAAATAACTTATCCTATAAAAGGAACAATATAGTTTTCTCAAAAATAACATAGGATTACATAGTAAATGACTAACCGAGTAAACAAATTTAACAAAAAACTACAACCAAAAATGGTTCCCATGTTCTTTTTTTTTTTTGTGAACACATACCAAATGGTTCTCATGTTCAAAACAAAATTTTTAAAAACAAATTAAAAAGTAATAATAAAAAATTAAACAGCTGCATACACATGAAAACAGGGATCGATGAATTATACCAAACGCAGATTACGATGTAGCAATCGTTAAATAATCTTTGTTAATACAATAATGAAACGTCTTTGTTTTCCTATAAAAAGAAAAACAGGGTAATCTCAGTACAAGAGATTCACGCTACGAAAATTGCGAAGGGCGCAGGATAGTCAAAATAGCTTAGAAAACGACACCCAGAATAACTAAAAAAATGCTAGAATGCGCAAATTTTAATGGCGCCACGTAGCTATTCAATACTCTCTCTCTCTACGCCCACCCAGACCTGCCTGTTCACAGCAAGACAAAGCCACTTCCCGATAAAAACACAACACCTTTCCCATTGACGCTCTCTCTTTCCACAAACACCGTTAACTTTTCCAAGACCAATAAAAAGAAGACGTGTGCTCACGACGTGTTGACGCCGTTAGTCCCATCTAAAAAAAGTAAAGCATCCTTTATTACTTGCTAATCGAAATTACTACTCCCATCTAGACATTAATTCTTTTGTTTCCTCGCAAAAACCATCTATACATTAATTATCACTTTTAATCTTATCTCCCTAAAATTCAACCGGTGGTTTTTTTTGGGTCAAACCGGTGGTTTTTTTGGGTCAAACCGGTGGTTTAGTACCTTTTCCTGGAGTCAAAATTGGTTAATATTTTTGATTTTTTTTTTACAATAAAAAGTAATTAGATAACTAATAATTTGGACTCGAAAACCAATCCAGAATTGTTGAATTGACATATAACACAACTGAAGAAAAAAATTTCGTATCTTATGTAAGCTTATGTAAGCTTGTTCGTTATAATATTTTATGTTTTCAAAATACGTATAATTTAGATATTAAAATAATTTTTTTTTTGTTTGGAACGTGATATTGAGATAATTTAGAAAATGCAATTAGTACCTTTTCTTGAGGTCAAAATTGGTTAGATAATGTAGAAAATACGATGAAAATATCTTTATAGAAAAAAGAATTATTTATTACTAAAATAAATAGAAAAAAGGAGGAAAGAAAAGAAAAATAATCTGGTCACTTGTCTATGAGGTCGCAGACCCTGGTCCCCCGGAAATGGTTACAACCGGAAATAGCCGGTAAAACCGGTTAAGCGTATGGTTAGAAGTTCACCGTGGTTGAATACTAGTCTGGTTAAGCCCTTTGGTCGCCTCATTCCCAGAAAACACAAAGATAGGAAGAAAACACAAAGAAAAAGATAGAGAGAGAGAGAAAGTAGAGAGAGAAAAAAAAAAGAGAGAGAGAGCCTCGTCATCGATGAACAAACGTCTGTGACTCCAATAAGAGCCGAGAAGAAGCCGAAGACGAGAAATAGAGAGAGAGAGAGGAGCATACAAAGTTGCTGTATCCCTAAATCGAGGTGAAATTGGTGATTTAGGGTTTATCACTCTGGTAAGTAATGTAAAAGAGCTTTAACGAGTGATTGATTGTGTTTTGTGACAGATTCAGAGACTGAAGAGACGGAGCTAGTGGTGGATTTGGAGATTCTAGTGTTGATTTCTCACCAGATGAAACAGATCTGAGATTATTAGAGAGTGATGACGAGTTCTGAGGTTTCTAGAAAAGGGAATCGTGGAGGAGAAGTTAGTTACAGTGACGTAACGGCCCCCGGTGAGACGCAGAAAGCTCAATCTAACCGATCTGTGGCGGGTGAGGGGTGTTACTGACTTTTCTTAGCTTTTTTTGTTTGTTTGTTACAAACTGATTTTTGAATTTATTTTTTGTTTGTTTGTATTAGTCGACGCTGAAGCTGCTCTGTATAGAGAGCTCTGGCACGCTTGTGCTGGTCCTCTCGTGACGGTGCCGCGTCAAGATGACCGTGTTTTCTACTTCCCTCAGGGACATATTGAGCAGGTGAGTTGAGATGAGATTCACACCTTCCTATATAACTCCGATTTGCTTTTTTTTTTTTTGTTTATTTAATTATTTTTTTGTGGTTTTGTTGATGAGTAGGTGGAGGCATCGACTAACCAAGCGGCGGAGCAGCAGATGCCTCTCTATGATCTTCCTTCCAAGATCCTTTGTCGTGTCATTAATGTTGATTTAAAGGTAGGTTTCCATCATTTTCATTTTAGAATTAAAAAAATAAAAGTTTTGTTTCTGAGTCTTGAATTGTTAGCTAATAACTATGGATTTTTTGTGTGTTTATTTTGTAGGCGGAGGCTGACAGTGACGAAGTTTATGCACAGATTACTCTTCTTCCAGAGGCTATTGTAAGTTGTGTTTTTATTATGTTCATTTTGGATGATTATATTCTTCAAGAAGCTGATTTATATTTTTTTGTTGTTGTTTGTTTACAGCAAGATGAGAATGCGATTGAGAAAGAGGCGCCTCCTCCTCCGCCACCGAGGTTCCAGGTGCACTCGTTCTGCAAAACGTTGACTGCTTCGGATACAAGTACACATGGTGGATTTTCTGTGCTTAGGCGGCATGCGGATGAATGTCTCCCACCTCTGGTTTGTGATTTGGTTTTAAAATTGAAAACCTATGGTTGGTGGCTTGGTTATAGATTTGATTCACTCTTACCTTTTGTTTTTTTTTTCTTTCAGGATATGTCGCGTCAACCTCCTACTCAGGAGTTAGTTGCAAAAGATTTGCATGCAAATGAGTGGCGTTTCAGACATATTTTTCGAGGTAATGGGGATTTTTATCAGTTTATTAATGGTATCTTATTCATTTCTTGTTGGATGTTGATGTTTGTAATGGTGCTATGCCAGGTCAACCACGAAGGCATTTGCTTCAGAGTGGGTGGAGCGTGTTTGTTAGCTCTAAGAGGCTGGTTGCAGGCGATGCATTTATCTTTCTAAGGTTTGTTGTTTTTGTTGTTGTTGTTCATGGTATTCTTGAGTTGTGTCTATTTCTTTAGTTGATCTGTTGTATCTAATTCTTCTGCAGGGGTGAGAATGGAGAATTACGTGTGGGTGTAAGGCGTGCAATGCGACAACAAGGCAATGTGCCATCCTCTGTTATATCGAGCCACAGCATGCATCTTGGAGTGTTGGCCACTGCATGGCACGCTATTTCAACAGGAACCATGTTTACAGTCTACTATAAACCAAGGTTTGTTTTGGCTAACATGACGTGCAGCCTTACTGTTTGTCTCCCTTTATCTGATGTCTGCCAGTGTTGCTGTTACTAAATTTCCATGTATTGTGGTTTTGTTTGTGACAGGACTAGTCCATCTGAGTTCATTGTTCCGTTTGATCAGTATATGGAGTCCGTGAAGAATAACTATTCCATAGGCATGAGATTTAAAATGAGATTTGAAGGTGAAGAGGCTCCTGAGCAGAGGTAAACCATAAACAGTTTTATTTTGTTTCAATGTATCTCTGTTTTCAAAAATTTCCTTTGAAAGGCGAAGCTCACATATTTTATTGATTTATACTAGGTTTACTGGGACAATCGTTGGGATTGAAGACTCTGACCCCACAAGGTGGGCAAAATCAAAATGGAGATCCCTTAAGGTATGTGTCCTTGTTCCTCGAGAAGATCAAAACTATTGTTATTCCCATGAATGCTAAATATTCAATATATTTCAGGTACGATGGGATGAGACTACTAGTATCCCTCGCCCTGATAGAGTATCCCCGTGGAAGATAGAGCCAGCTCTTTCTCCTCCTGCTTTGAGCCCTGTACCCATGCCTAGGTCTAAGAGGCCCAGATCTAATTTAGCTCCTCCAACTCCAGACTCTTCCATGCTCATAAGAGAAGGTAGAGTCTACATTGCAATGTCTGATGAATTATTGTTTGAAAACTAAATCAAACACATTAAAGAAGACTAATTCATTTTCTACGAAACAGGCTCATCCAAGGCAAACGTGGACCCTCTACCGGCAGGTCGACAATCAAGGGTCTTGCAAGGTCAAGAATACCCGACCTTGAGAACGAAACATATTGAAAGTATAGAGTGCGATGCCCCTGAGAATTCTGTTGTGTGGCAATCCGCAGCAGATGATGACAAGGTTGACGTGGTTTCGGCTTCTAGAAGATATGAGAACTGGATGTCCTCAAGCAGGCATGAACCTACTGCGTACACGGATTTGCTTTCCGGCTTTGGCGCAAACATAGAACCACCCCATGGGCATCAGATACCTTTTTATGACCATTCCTCATCACCTTCTGCAAGGAAAATCCTCAGCGATCAAGATGGCAAGTTTGAGTATCTTGCTAACCAGTGGCAGATGATGAATTCTGGTCTTTCCCTGAATTTGCATGAATCGCCTAAGGTCCCTGCAGCACCTGATACCTCTTTCCATGGGCGTGGCAATGCCAAATATGGAGAATATGCTGTGTATCCTGCTGTGACGACTGAGAATGCTGGTGGTAACTGGCCAATACGTCCACGTGCTATGAATTATTTTGAAGAAGCGGTTAATGCTGAGGCTCGAGCTCAGGCTAGGGAGCATGTACCAAAACGACCTGTGGTCATACAAGAGGAGACAGTAAAGTCGAAAGAGGGTAACTGCAGGCTTTTTGGCATTCCTCTTGTCAACAACGTTAATGGGATAGATACAGCTATGTCTCAGAGAAACAACGTTAATGATACTACGGGGCTTGCGCAGATAGCATCACCAAAGGTTCAGGATCTTTCTGACCAGTCGAAAGGGTCTAAATCGACAAATGATCATCGTGAGCATGGAAGAGCACTCCAAGTTAATAATCCCCTTCCGAAGGACGTTCATATTAAAACGACTTCAAGTAGGAGTTGCACGAAAGTAAGTTTTTTTTGCTATTGTACCAAAAAAATTTGTATGAGCTTGTAGGAACCCTTGACGCAGTTCTTGACTAACACACACGACCTTTGGTTTTATTTTGGAAAGGTTCTTAAGCAGGGGATAGCACTTGGCCGGTCAGTGGATCTCTCAAAGTTTCAGAACTACGAGGAGTTGGTAGCTGAATTGGATAGGCTGTTTGAGTTCAATGGAGAGCTAATGGCTCCTAAGAAGGATTGGCTGATAGTTTACACAGATGATGAGAATGATATGATGCTTGTTGGTGACGATCCTTGGCAGTAAGATTTTACATTTTTCGATCTTCTGTACATCTGTGCTGGTTACTCTTTTCGGACACTAACACAATGATTAAATTTTGCAGGGAGTTTTGTTGCATGGTTCGTAAAATCTTCATATACACGAAAGAGGAGGTCAGGAAGATGAATCCAGGAACTCTAAGCTGTAGGAACGAGGAAGACGCAGTTGTTGGGGAAGGATCAGATGCAAAGGACGCCAAGTCTGCATCAAATCCTTCCTTGTCCAGCGCCTGAAACTGTTAAACCGAGGAAACCAACACACCCTTTTGCTACTCGCCTAGGTATGTATATATAACTAATATCAAGACAGACCAGGTTACACACGAAAAGTTCACCGATGAATGATACTTGGGTGTTTTTGTAATGCAGGGGAAGTGAGTTAGGAACAGAGATCAGGAGGAGAGTTCGATGGTGGAGCCTGGGGAGCAACAAAGGGATTATGGGGTTTTTTCTGAAGATAAGATATTAAAATGCAATTTTTGAAGTATTTTGTTGGCCACTTAGATTATTAGCATCTCCCACCATCGTATTATCTAAATGATAATAAAATTAATAATCAATATATATTATAAAGTAAACAAAAAAGGGTTGCGGGTAATATATGGTAGAATATGGGAAGGCTTTTTTATAAGTAGAAATGATGGTGTGGAGCTGTAGATGGAGGCTGGTCTCGGTTCTTTGCTATTTGTATTTCTTTTCTTTCTTCCAGAGATCTCTCTTTAAAGTCTTTTATTGTTTATATATATATATTAATCTCAATGTATATAGGTTTTTAAGATTGTACTCTTCTTAATTTGTTCTTATCTACGCTTAGCTACTTATCAGAGTGTTCTTGAGTTTTGGTGTGGTTTTAGGGTTCATACGTTCAAATCCTGCCTTTCTGTTTTTATCGATTGAAGAAAACGTGATGCGGTTTTCTCAGTGTGTGACTAGAATAAAAACAAATCGGTTCTATTTTGTGTCACAGTTCGTAGTTTATTTAGTAGAGCATAAGAAAGCTAATGGCATCCTGAAATGTATCAAGAGAGCAAGACATTAGGGCAGAACGAGAAGCAAGAATAGATGCTGATTGTTCAATGCAGACATTTCATGAACTTCACAGTATTTTAATATAGTGTAAGAACTTGTAACGCTATCTAACATGGCTAGAATTTTGAATAAACGTTATCTTGTTCGCTCTTCTCTTTTGTAAATCTACTCCATACGACACATAATCCTGAAGAGTCCGATAACGATTGACACATGAGGCAGACATCTCCATAATTCATTTAATTTCCCCAAAAAAGTATAGAAGAATAAGATAAAGTAACTTGTAGGGACCCACCACTTGGACACATCATAAGGGGGAATAAACATGCATAAGAAGTTTCCTGAAGCTGCTTCTTCGATCTTCTGTCTTCTTCTTTTTAACACAACATCATTCCTAATCAAATAATACTATCCTATCTCCTCCTTTCTTCTTTCGCACCTCTCAGGAGACGCTCTTCATCTTTCTTCTCTAACTACATGGTGAGCGATAACGGTGACACGATGATGGTAATAACAAATGACTCTCAAAGATCCGTTCCGACGCCGTTTCTCATAAAGACTTTTAACCTCGTCGAAGACCCTTCCATCAACGACGTTATCTCCTGGAACGAAGATGGTTCCTCCTTCGTCGTATGGAACCCGACTGATTTCGCTAGAGACTTGCTTCCTAAACACTTCAAACATAACAACTTCTCTAGCTTTGTCCGTCAGCTCAACACCTACGTACGTCATTACATATATAACTCTTATCATTTCAGACCATTTATGTTACGTTCCAACAGTTCTTGATTTGTTTTTTTTTATTACAGGGATTCAAGAAAGTAGTTCCTGATCGGTGGGAGTTTTCGAATGATTTCTTCAGGAGAGGAGAGAAACGTCTCCTCAAAGAGATTCAACGCCGGAAGTTAACCTCTCACGCTCCGCCGCCTGACGTGGCAACGGCTCAGAGAGTCCAAACGACGAAAACTGTCGTCTCTCCGTCGAGTTCAGGAGAATATCAAGCGGTGTCTCCGTCGTCGACGATAGGAAACAATGGTTTGTCCGTTGAGCTGTTAGAAGAGAACGAGAAGCTTCGGAGTCAGAACATACAGCTCAACCGTGAGCTAACTCAGATGAAATCTCTCTGCGACAACATCTTCAGCCTCATGTCTAACTACTCCGGATCTCCGGGAGGAGCTAGTAGCAGTCACGAGACTATGAAAGTGCCGGTGGAGTTTTTTCCGGCGAAGCGGGTTGTTGTTGAGGAAGAAGCGAGTCATAGGCTTTTCGGTGTTTCGATAGGGCTGAAACGGACGAGAAGCGAAGGTGTTCAGGTGAAGGCGGTGGGGGAGAAGGAGGAGACGCCGTGGCTGAGACAATATAATAGAACCAATCAGAGAGTCTGTAATTGAGTGGGGTGCGAAGTAGAGGATTAAAGCTTTTTTTAAGACAGTCAGCACGTGTTCTCGTCTGTGTTTCAAGAAGTTTCTTCAATCTTGACTACTTCTCTCTCTAACATGTTGTTGTCATTATTAATAAGATAAACGCTCTTTTTTCAGTTTTTTCGTCTATAGATTTTTCTCGACTTTCCTTTTTTGACTTTTTTTTTCATTTCTTTTTTTTCTCTTTTGGGGTTTTTTGAAATTATTAATAATTCTTTTAGCTAGAAGAGACGTAGAGATTAGATCAATTATAGCATTAATGATGGAACGGGAAATTGTAATGAAGCTTCCGGAATCTCTTGTTTGGTGGGCACGGACAATACAACGTGGACAACGTTTCGTCACAAGTAAAATCTCTATAATCGATAATTGGTAGTCAAATACTCCAAAAATTGATGACACGTTCCTAAATACAACTTTAACTGTAGTTTATTGACACTTTGTAGTTTATAGTCAAGGATTCAAGCCAAAACTTAAAGACATTTCCTATATACAACTTTAACCGTAGTTTATTGACACTTTTTAAGTTATAGTCAGGCTTTCAAGCTCTAAACTTAAACACATTTCCAATATACAACTTTAACTGTAGTTTATTGACACTTTGTAGTTTCTAGTCAGCGATTCTACCCAGGTTTTGATTAACTAAAAACAGTCGGACCCCAATTGGTAGCATGAATATTAATTAGCTAGATTTAATCTTTGGACCAAATGCTCAGATGCTATTAATCAGCTAGAAAATTCGCACAGTTCTCCGTTTTCGATTATTATAGAGAAAAAATTTCATTATAAATAAGTGTTGTTTTCGGTCTTCAGTAGAAAATTTATTAATTTTATTTTGTTATTTATTTATTTTATTGGTTAAAATGTGGTTATGTGTTTAGATAATTATGTTTTAATATAAAAAACTACAAAATTCCAAGGTGACATTTATAATAAAACAAAGGAATATATTTTTATTTATTCTCACATATTTTTATTTTTAATAAATTGAGACAATTCCGATTTTGTTCTTATTCGTTCCCTCCAGTCATAGTTCTATCAAATTTTACCATTGTTGATGTACAATTTGGTATAACAGAATTTTAGTTTTATCAAATTAAATGATATAACTTGGCATACCTAAAATTTGAATGTAATTATAATAAATTGTATAATTATAATTAATCCATTGTAAAATTTGGTAAAATTATTTTTATGGGTTTTAGTTTTACATCTAAATATTTTACTTTTACGTTTCTGAGTTCCAAAAATTGAAAACCAATATCACGAAAGAAAACATAAGAAGAACATCAATATTTTATTTTCTTTCGCGAGAACAAAAAAAACATAAATAAAAAATAATTTAAAGAGGATCAAAGAAAAATAAACAAATCGAAATAAACTAGATGAAATTGTTTTTTTTTTAATGGTCGAAGAGATTAAAAAAAAAGGAGATCCAAAAAAAGAGAAAAAGGAAAATAATGAAAAAAAAGAAGAGATTTAGAAAAAAGTAAAGATGCATAGATATATTAGTTTAAAAAAATAATAACATATCCGTAAATAGATAAAATTTGTGTAGATTTTGTTAGAATTTTATCTCGCTTTCGAATTAAAAATAAATACATTTTAAAGGAGATTATATAGGAAATTTTTTTAAAAGAATAAGAGTATATGAGAAAGATATCAAATCCACATAACGCTTCTTGGATAAGAAATGTTTTATTTGTTAGTTACAAAAAAAGGTGTATATTTGTTTATGTGCCTGATGCTATTCAAAAAAATTGAAATTGTCTATGTTCCGAAGATTTTGAATGTCTTATTTTTAGCAAAATAAAATGATAAAAGAAGGAGTATAATAACATTTTTTTCCAAATTCTACATATAATTAACTGTCCAATTTCAATAAGGTTATTCAGTCAGTGTCAGTTTAAAAATAAAATTATGAATTATAGACATCTAACAAAATTGTTAGAGATCCACCAGATTCACAAGGTACGAGCTTAAGCCAAAAAAAAAAAACGTGACATGGGTTCGAGAATACTAATACAACTTGGTTCTCTTTGAGACTCATAAATTCGGTCATTCAAATTTTTGTTAAACCAAATTCTAGTTAACCGGTTAGTTAACAAAAACATAAACACTCAAAACTAAACCCAAACCCTTCTGTGTCCGTCTCTCTTCCTCGCCACTCCGCCGCCTTCTCCTCTCTCAAAGGCAATCTTCTGCTTTCGTCTTCTTCGTCTCTATTAAGTTCTCATCCCTCCGCTACTTCCTTTCCCCCCAAAGGTTTGTCTTCCATCTCTAATTATAACTAACTGTTGTCCCTTATCGATTGATCGCATAAACTTTGATTATTACTAAAAGAATCGTAACTTTTCAATGTTTCAGCAACTCATACATAATCCGTACGATGCAAACCATGGAGCTTTCAAATCCAACCAACACCAAAAAACCCAAACAACCACCAACACGTTTCATCAAAAACCAAATCCCCGACACAATCCTCAACGACCCTTCCCTCAACGCAACAATCTCCCTCCTCCCATCCATCTACCAATTCGAAGTCCACAAATCCGTCTTCCGCATCAAATCCAAAAACGCCAAACGCGTCGCCCTCCAGCTCCCCGAGGGTCTCCTCATGTACGCCCTCACCCTCTCCGACATCTTCACTACCTTCGCCGGCGCCACTCACTGCTTCGTCCTCGGCGACGTCACCTACGGAGCTTGCTGCGTCGACGACTTCTCCGCCTCTGCTCTCGGCGCCGACTTGCTCATCCACTACGGACACAGCTGCCTCGTCCCCGTTGACGAGGACACCATGAAGGTCCCTTGTCTCTACGTCTTCGTCGAGATTAAAATCGATGTCAAGTGTTTGGTGGATACTATCCGTCTCAATCTCGGTGATGTTGAAAACATTATCCTCGCGGGAACTATTCAGTTTAATTCGGCCGTTAGGGCGGTTAAGCCTGCGTTGGAGAATGAGGGTTTTAAGGTTTTGGTCCCTCAGTCGAAGCCGTTGTCGGCCGGGGAAGTACTCGGATGCACTGCGCCGAAGGTAAGGAAGGTTGAGGGTTGTGATGAGGAGGACTATGTGCTGGTGTTTGTGGCTGACGGGAGGTTTCATCTAGAGGCGTTCATGATAGCGAACCCCGAGATAAAGGCGTTTAGGTACGATCCTTATCTCGGGAAGCTGTTTTTGGAGGAGTATGATCACAAAGGGATGAGGGAGACGAGGAGGCGGGCGATTTCGCGGGCGAAAGAGGCGAAGAGTTGGGGGATTGTGTTGGGGACTTTGGGAAGGCAAGGGAACCCTAAGATTCTGGAGAGGTTGGAGAAGAAGATGGAGGAGAAAGGGATTGACGGGACCGTTGTTTTGATGTCGGAGCTTAGTCCGACGAGAGTGGCCTTGTTTGAAGACTCTGTTGATGCTTGGGTGCAGATAGCGTGTCCGAGGCTTTCTATTGATTGGGGTGAGGCGTTTCTTAAGCCGCTTTTGACGACTTTCGAGGCTGAGATTGCTTTAGGGTTTATCCCCGGGTGGTGGGAGAAGGGTTCTTTGAGTAGAGTTGAGTCTGGCTGCTGCAAAGAGGAGAAAGAGAAAAGCTGTGCGTGTAGAGATGATAAGAAGGATGATGATGGGGTGCTTGATGGAGACTATCCGATGGATTATTATGCAGAAGCAGGTGGTGAATGGAATTCAAAATATAAGAAGTCATCTCGTCCCAGTCGAAGAAACCCTTTACCTTCTGTTGTTTAGAGTGCTGTGAGGTTTCATGATGAGATATATTTTTCAACACACAAAGTCAAAAGGCAAATGGGTTTTAGGAGACTGACAACAAGAGACTCTTGCTGTGTATTGATACAAGGGGTGAGGACTAAGAGAAGCTACAACATTTGTTGCTCTCCTTTACTGAGATTTTGTCTTTTTAAATTTTGGGTTTATGGGGTTGCAACACAATGGTGACTGAAGTGAAACTATAAGTCTTGTGTGTAGTAAAAATTGATGATCTTTATTTTAACATTTTTACCTGGTTTTGTTTTGGTTGTGGTATTTTCGTATATATTTGCGTTGGTTTGATCCTATCTCGTCACTCATGGATCTTCTGCAGGTAAAACAAGCAGATTATCTGCTGTTGATGCAATGCAGAAATTTATTGAAATTTCGTTAATATTGGTAATATTACATTTATCTGAAAATATGCAACCTTTTTACAAATTGATATTTTGTTTTTGATAATTAATATTATATATTTTATGTGTTATATATAATTATTTGTATAAGTACTTGAATGTTTTATAATTTCTATATATCATTATCGAATCAAATTGGATAGTATAATAACTTTTGATTATTTGGTTATTTTTAGTTTGGATTCAAAATATTCGAACCGAATCGATTGAAATGGTTATTTTGGTACAAATATTCAAAATTGTTTCAGATACATTAGTTTTTGGATATTTTAAAGTTTCTATACATAAAAACCGAATCTATCCAGATTGAAAGAATTTTACTTGAAATTCATTCGAAAATTTATCATATTTGAATGGAGTCTAATTTTAAAATTCAATAAAACGATACACGAAAGAAATAACTTGTGCCTCATTGAGTGTCCAGATTTGTATGCCAAACTGATTTTGTAAATAAGAAAAAGAATCTTTGATAATCATTTTTAATTCTTGTCACAAATGTAGCAATTTCATTTAAATATGTCAAATTATTATGATTAATATGTAAATAACTATTGTCAGAATATATGGTAAAAATAATTGATGAGATAATTAGAAATAATGAGAAAACGAATGTCAAAAAATATAAAAAAAACATTTCAAAATAGTTTAGTTATGTTTTGTAATGCTATAACAAATAATGTCAAATTATTTTGAAAAATAAAAAAAATAGAAGGATCAAAATTAATAAAAAATGAAATGAAAATTTGTAAGAAATCATTTAAAAATTGATTAGTAATGTTTTGTACTTTACCTTTAAAAGAATATATTTAAGTGTAAAAAACTCGTTTTTTAAATGCTGAATAATTATGCTATTACAAACTATGAAAAATCTTACCGACGATTCTACAGCCGACAATTCTACCTGTCTTATGAGGATCACGTCTAACTGCATTACTTTTACCGCATCATTTGAACCACCCTATCGAATCTACTATGAACGATACTCTTTACGATATGCCAAGTTTTTTCTCCATAAATTTACATAATTTCGTCTTTTCTAAGATTCGAAATTCAAGTTTCAAGATGTACAAATATAAATGAACCCTTAATCAAACTACGGGACCAAATTAAAGGACTTCCACATTGTAAAGAACTCGTTAATGCTTTCTTTTTTATCAACGCTCGTTATTGCTACTAATTAATTGGAATGTGGCAAATAATTCTACCTAACTATGAAAATTTCGCAGCCCCTCTCTCTGATGCATTGAGAGATCTGTAAAAGAAAGTCTTTCTACTTTCGCATATTATGTGGCGAAGGTTTCTGTTTTAATTGATTTAATATTGAAGGTAACAGTATATTTTTTACCTTTTCATGTTGTAAGAACAAAATTTCGGGTCTAAGAAAACTTTACCTGTTATACCCACAAACAAAAGAAACAACTTGTTTATATAATATATAATACATCTAAAAGCTGATTTATTGAAGTCAATTCTTTGTAAATTCTAGATGCGGCTTCTGTTCATCATCTTTGAATTGTCATATAAATCACTAAAATCTTCAAATATACACTTACATTGAAGGTATATAGGCAAATTTATATGGATGATCATTATAAATGCTAAGCTACATAGATATATTAACATATGTTGAAACTACACAAAGTTAATCATCAATATTATAACTTCCAAAACTCCAATATAGAATGGCTTTTGATATCTCATTTGAAGAGAAAGATTTCAAATATCTAAATATCTAGAACGTAGCTACTAACATCAATGCAGTCAATTATGTCTATTGGAGAAGTTGATTATAATGCTTTATTATAAAGATCAAACATGATTTAAAAATGAGTTTGAGCTGATTTGATTATTATATTTCCTATATTTCTTTGCGAATTCATAAAATGATAGTCTAACCACATTAATTAGCTCATACTTCGAAATGTTATGATCCATTTACACCGAATACTAAAGTGGAATAATAGACCGGTCGTGCAGTAAAGAAAGATGACATGATTTGTTTCTTCAGTCGGTAAGGGGGTATGATATCAGGATCGCACATTTGGACACCATTTCTTTATTAGTTTCGTTGAAAATTAACAATGTTCTCTTAATATATTACCAGCGATCTCCTCAAGAAAATATCACTCAAATTCCACCACCACCACTCTGCCTCCCCCTCTTTATAAGTAATAAATAGTTGCGAAAATATTTTATTTTCTTGCAAAGTATTAATTATATAAGCAAATGCTTACAAAAAAATACCTTAACTTATTCTAGTGGCGGCATAGATTTTTCTTGATATACAGGGTTCATGCTTGTATTTTCAGGCAGCTTTCGGCGATAGTAAAAACTGCTACTACAGAAGACGCTTATGTTTATATATGTATGCATGCTCATTGTTACATTGTATACGTAATGGTTTTGGAGATTGAGGATTTGAAATGTGCATTTTGTTTGAAAATATGCTATTATCAAATTTATAATGTTTTATTTTTGAGGTGTAAAAAGATCCTAATAATGTAATTTAGTATCGAACTAATTTCGTTTTAAACTATTTATGATCATCTTTTTGTTTTAAAAGATACATACCTATATCTATTTATTTGCGCAAAGCTCACTAAAAATAAGTGGAAAGAATAACATTGCAATTTTTCATTACATTTTTGGTGCAATCTTTCATTACATCATCCACTTCGAATTATCAAACAACAATTGCCAAATCATCGGACAACAAACAAACCAAGGATGTGGCAATTCAGTTGGTTTAATTAAGCACATGATCCTCCTAATATAATTTAGTATCTAACCAATTTCCGTTTTAAACTATTTATGATCATCTTTTTGTTTTAAAAAATACATGCCTATATTTATTTGCGCAAAACTCACTAAAATGTGGAAAGAATAACACTCAAATCTTTCATTATATTTTTTTTGGTGCAATCTCTCATTACATCATTCACTAATACCTTGCAAATCATCAGACAACAAACAAACCACAGATGTGGTAATCCAGTTGATTTAAGCACATGCATTGTTGTGTTCTTTAATTCAATCACTCTCAGAGGAATACTTTATGCCAGAAATAATATTAGCAAAGATTGGCTCCGGATTTAGAGGAGATTAAGACCCAAAGGAGATTAGGCCGTAGGAAATTCAAAAAAAAAAAATCCATTAACTATTAATTAATTCCCTTTAGTACAAATTTTGATGTATTTGAAATTTATTTTCCTTTACATATTACTCCCTCCGTTTCATATTAAGTGTCGTTGTAAAGAATTTTTTTTTTTACAAAATAATTGTCATTTTCGATTTTCAATACAAAATTTATTAATTTTATTATGTAATTTGTTTTTTCTACTGGTTAAAATATGGTTAGGTTTATAGGTAACTGTGTTTTTATATAGGAAATATGAAAAATTAATTGTTTCATTAATCCGTGTACACAGCTGTAAAGTGACACTTATGATGAAACAGAGGGAGAGGGAGTAAGTTATATTTTGGTAGAGGCCCAAATTAAAACCTCATATGACATTTTTGACGCTATACCTTTTAGTTGTTACATATGTTATATCAGTGGTTCAGTTATTTACGATCCGATGCTGTTTTTGGTTTATAAACTCAGTGTTTTAAAGTCAAATTGTATGTTAGTAAGAATTTCTTAGTTTTATATCCATAAATTCCAAAGCTTACAAACCTGTATTTACTTATATATTTATTAAATGACGACTTTTTTTTGACAAATATATTAAATGTGGTAATGACACGAAGAAAAATTCGTTTATGCTGTTTGAGTTTGGCTAAAAGTGATATGTTAGCTCCAATCAAATCATCGACGTGTTAGATTCCATGCAGACAACAAAACTAATAACATGTTTTTTTGTCAACTAGAATCTTCGTGGTTGGCTCTAGCTTACGTTATCATTATTTTAGTAAGCTTCTTCACTTTGCAATTTTATTTCAAACTAAAGAACTTAACTTACCATCCCACTTAAATTTCTATTTTTCTTCTGGCTTTTTTTCAAAAGTTATTTTTTTTTACGTTCCACTAATAATGTAAACGTGAAATCTTGAATATTGCTAGCTCAACCACCAGGAGAGAATGATTTGTTAAATATAAGAAAGTATGTTTTTATCTGATGAAGTGATTTGCTGCTGCCTAAATGAAGAGTATTTAACTGTTTAGGGTTTGTGTTTATTCTCAAACTAAATAAAATTTTAACCAATAAGATACATTGTGTATACATTGTATCAAGTTTGAACTCGAATTAGAGATAACAACCATTTATTACAAATCACTAGGGTACCTATTTTACGTCAAAACATACACAGTTAATATAGAAAAAGGCGACACGTACGATAGTAATAGAACAATCACACTAAACATGTCTTTATTCATTTATACTAATTGTATAACATATCGATAAACAAAATGGAAATATAAATTAGCACTAATATTAGGTGCCACTATGTTTGCGCCACGTATTGGGTTGAGCATATGCATATAGTGATACTGATGAGGAAAATCAAGTGGATTCCATGACTAGAAACTACAAAGTGTAATGAGATTCTCAGTCATATTTTAAAGCAGATTCTTTTTATTTATCTCTTCTTCTTCTTATTTGGAATATCTGCAAAATCAATGTCTATGCCAATCATCATAATATCTGGCGTTCATTTTTTATCGACACGCGTGCGTTTTCTTTTTCTATTTAGCCAATAGAATATTCGAACGTAGTGGGGACGAAATTTTATTGAATAATTATCTTTGAGTTTTTAAAGTTTATATGAGAACTGTTAGCTTTTATTGTTTTTGTTTTACACAACAAAAGAAGACAACTGTTAGCTACTAAACCTGGACATAGTTCCGATTCTTTGTTTCTACATTTGGCTAACACTATACTAAAGTGGATAGGCTAGCTAGTGTGAGTAATTGTTTTAAGCATAAATGTTGTATTTGACATTATATGCATCAAATGGTGGTGATCCCGTTGAAGAGTTTACTCTATGATTTTTTCAGAGTTCGAATGTTTCACTTAGACTTCAACAATTTTCTGATCGTTCTTAAACATATTCCACTAACAAGATCGTTCTTAAACATATTCCAATAACAAGAAGATCTTGTTTATATAAACAATCAAAGAACACTACATCTTTGCTTATTTAAAATGTTACAAATTTCTCTAAAGAGTGTAGATATATAAGAGTGGGTACAAATTCATATTAATAAGATGCCAAATGATACATATGGCTTTTGATAAATTGTGTATAAACAAGAGATAATTACATTTAGAGCATCTCTAAAAAAACTCTCTATTTTTAGAGTTTGTAAAACTCTATACTTGAAGTTTAAAGGTGTTGTGTTCCAAAAGCAAAACTTCAAACTCAACTTCAAAACTATTTGTATTTTATACTATGGTCCTTATATTTGTTATAACTAATTAAAATTCATAGAATTTTTATAAATAACTAGTACATATATAAAATATTACAATAATATTAATTAATAAAATATTACACTAAAATAAAAAAATATAAACAAAATATATAATTAAATATTAAATTATGAACAAAATACTACATTAAATCTGATAATATTGTTGTTGTCTAATTCTAGTTTTAAAATATTTGAAATCTTATCTTGATATTTAAAAAAAAAATTAATTATGTGTAAAATTTAAATTTACTAATTTTTTTTTGAATATTTATGAGATAAAAAATTTAAAGATTAAAATGATAAACAATAAGATATTTAAGAGTTATAAATATGATATGTAATTGTAAAGACCAAAATGCAAATAAAAGTATGAAACTTCAAATTTGAAGTTTTAGAATTTCTTTTTGGAGAGTCAAAAATTTCATATTTGAAGTTATATAGTGTCTTTTGGAGATGCTCTTAGGTGGATATAAATAATTAAAACAACAAGTTTTTTTGTTAAAATACAACAAACAATGTGTAACAAAATTATGAAGGTATAGGTTGACCAGTTATAAGAATTTTAGGTGATATAGATAGAAATTACATGATAGATATTTATATATCTATTTATGACAATGCCAAACAGTGAAAATTGTGCTAGAGCATTTATAGTAGAATACATATAGAAACAAAAATCCCTTTTTATCTCCCAAGTTGTGCCAAGTCCCAAGATTCTTTAGTTCCTCTATAAAAGAACCATCATATGGCTCATTCCATAGAAACCAGCATCAACTACAACACACAAACATACTTGAAAGAGTTGGAACAACATAGGAAAAAAAAAGAGGTCAATAATGTCAAGAGAAATAGAACCACTAATAGTGGGAAGAGTGATAGGAGACGTCATAGAAATGTTCAGTCCAAGTGTGACTATGAGAGTCACATACAGCTCCAACACAGTTGTCTCTAATGGCCATGAACTCTCTCCTTCTCTTCTCCTCTCTAGGCCTCGCGTTGAAATTGGCGGCCATGATCTCCGTTCATTCTTCACCTTAGTAATAACTTAAAACTTTATTTCTTTCTTTTAAACCTAAGCATACACAATACTTACTTACTTTTGGTCATCTCTTCTAACGTTACTCTTTTCGTTTTTTTTTTTTTCCATCTCGAAAGATCATGATGGACCCTGATGCCCCAAGTCCTAGTAATCCTTATATGCGTGAATATCTGCATTGGTACGTCCAAAAGTCTATCATTAATATACCACCTCTTCACATATATAATGTTTAAGAAATATGTAGGCGCTAATTAAACATTTTCTAGAGGATTAGTGTGTAGACGGACGATTAGGCGCTAATTAAATATTTTCTAGAGGATTAGTGTGTAGACGGATGATTAGAGCCGCCTAGACTGATATATTAAAAAGGGGTTTTACCGTCTAGACCAATTTTTTTAGATCACTGCTTATATATAACAACAACAATGTGTAATATATTTTTTACATATTAAAAACACTGTATAATGTTGCATTCTTTTATGATGTTTTTATGCTTATCGAATTCAGGATGGTGACAGACATACCCGGGACAACTGATGCTTCTTTTGGTAATAACAATCACTAATCACATCATATAACTATACGTCAATAGTTCAACACTAAGATGTTGAAAACACATTTTTTCATGAATGGTGATTGATGGTAGGGAGAGAGATGGTGAGATATGAAACGCCTAAACCGGTGATTGGGATACACAGATACGCGTTTGTGCTGTTCAGACAGAGAGGGAGGCAAACGGTGAAGACGGCACCAGTGACAAGGGAATGTTTCAACACAAGAGACTTCTCTGCTTTCTTTGGTCTTTCTCTACCTGTTGCTGCTGTTTACTTCAACGCTCAACGTGAAACTGCTCCTCGAAGACGTCCTTCTTACTAATCAACTATAATGATACTCTAATCTATATGTAGAAATAAAGTTCACACTAAAACCCTTTATGTGCGAAAATAAAGTTTCCCTAACTAAGCACAGGGTATGTGATGTTTTGTATGTTCAACTCAAAAGAAATAAAGAATGTTATTTGATTTATTAGTACCTGAAAAATATACAAGGTATGTGATGTTTTGTATGTTCAACTCGAAAGAAATAAAGAACTTTATTTGATTTATTAGTAACCTGAAAATATAATATTGTATTAAAGTTTCAAAAAGAACAAACTTACAATATTGTTTTGATAAAATTATCAAGAAAACATATAACTTCACTAATAAGGTGTCTCTCTGGGTTTAGTTTCCATCTAAATGAGAACAAATTGTGTAGTATGATTGGTTCTCATCCTCTACACTTTTGATACAAAAGCTTTTTATTGTTTCTTTCCTCTAACAAAAAAAATGAAATGCACACAAAATGTTTAAAATCACCTCTTCTTGCTGTTGTTCTTCTTCCTTGCCTTAACTTGGCTCTCCAAAGCCTTGAGCCTCTTACTAACAGGACTCAAAGATGACATCCTTGGGTTTACTGGCAAAGATGGTTGTGTCTCCTTCTGTGTATGGTCCTGTGTCATGGCTTTCATTTTCTTGAGAGCTGCGAAGAGGTCAAAGGAAGGTTGTTGACCTGGAGGAGTTGGAGGTAGTTCAGGTATCTTTAACATCTTCTTCACTTGAGGACGTTTAATCACTGTCATTCATTACCACAGATTAACCAGTCATCATCATGTCTTAATTACACACACACACACACATTAACTCACTCACTTACCAAGTCCATACGTGAGAGAGAACAAGTTTGAAGTGATCCAGTAACAAAATATAGCCTGCAAAATTTTTGCAAATATAAAAAATCCATTTTGCAGAAAGTTTATATGGTTTTTTACTAAATAACAATACCAACCTGTGGGAAACTCATTGTCATTGGAACAGTGAGGAGAGCGAAGCCTCGGAAAACGTTTTTAATAGTGCCTGCCATTGGGTTACCTTCCATGCCTTCTTGTGCATTACACTAGGAGTTGACGTATTCAAGCTTAAGTTAGCAAGTTTCTGACAAATGTTGAAGATGTTTAAAACTGTTTAGAAGTTGACAGAAACTGTACCTCAACAGTTATTAAGAATGTTAATGCTGTTATAACCGGTAAGATGTATAAGCTGTCAGGTGTGGTTAGATCGGTGAACCATAATGCACCTCCGGTTTGGAATGAAGGTACCTTCTCTGCCATGTTTCGAATCTGTGGGGGAAGAAAAGAAAATGAAGGAGACGAAGAAGACTACATGAAACAACAAAGCATCTTAGTGATGGAAAGGCCTTACAGCAAGGAAAAAGCAGATGAAGAGAGGTCCCTGAATAAGCATCCCTTTCATTGGGGTGAATGGAGTGACTCCATATCTGTAAAATTATAAACAGACGTCTATTGTTATGTGGACATATCTAACAATATACCAAACGTCAAATGATACTACTTTTTAAAAATCTTACTCTTTAAACAAGTTCTTCATCTTTTTTTGACCTTCTGCCATAGTAACCTGATCCATTCCCTGAACACATAAAGGGAAAAAACGAAATGGGGAAAATCAAAAGAAGGGAATGTAGTCAGAGCAAAAGCTATTAGCAGAGTAGTAAAAGTAAGGAGTAAGGGCATGATGTATGGCTCTGATAACAAACTTAAGGTACCTTGTTTTCCATTTCCTCACGAATGGCTTCGAGTCGCGGCTTCATCAGCTGCAGGATCATAGAAAAGACTACTGATGGAAACAGCATACAACAAAACCAAAGAACCCTCCTAAATGGATTGGTCTCCAAGTTTGCAAAAAAAAAGAGGAAGGCACATACCGATAACTTCATTGTGTCTTTCATTTGTTTGATCAAGAGAGGAACTGTAGAAGACCGAATCAACACTGTTGCTAAAACAATGGACGCCCACCTGTTAATCATCCAGAAAAGTAGTACACAAGAGAAACAACAATGATACCTTTATTACAAATGCCAAGGTATTAACTCATATATATATCAAGATTTATGAGCATTCACTTACCACTCAAAACCAGTGTAACAATGAACCATATCAATACAATGCTGAAGCGCAGCGATAGGCAAGAAAGAGTCATTAGCCGCAAGTGCAACTTCACTGACAGCAGCAACAGCCTGAGCTGGCGCATCTTGCAACGTTGCTGAGTCAGTTATAACTTCTGCGATATCGTTAATCACACCAATCTTCTCCGAACCAACACCATGTGCACTTGACATATAGCGATAGAAAGCAAAAGCAGACGCAGAAGTAGGAGCCAGAGGCACATTTAGTAAGCCTGAGCTGATAGGTGATCTTTGGTGATGGAGGAAGCTATGGTAGCTTCTTTGAGATGTGAAGGAACTCTCTTCATGGTCATGGTCATTGTCACGAGGGATGATGTGGAAAGAAGCTAGCTGCTTCCTTGGTCCACCGGTAAGTGTTGACCTTATGGATAAGGCTCTCCTGAAAGCCATTGCAGGAATCTAAAAACAAGATCCTACAGTAAGTAGTAAGGAACTAAAGTTAAATAGCCATTTGATAAAAAAAATAGAGAGTTAAATAGTTAAAGATGTGATTTTTCAGATTAAAGATTAAAGCTTTAGACTAAAGAGATGTAATTATGGTAAAGATGTGATTTTTATCAAAGGTTAGACATTGATCCTACTAAAAAGATGTAATTTTGGTCACAAACAAATTGATATGTGATTCTCAGATTGAAAGAGTAAAACTTTTTGACATTATGCTAAAGACGTGATATTTTTTTCGATTCAATTAAAAAGATGTAATTTTGGTCATTGACAAACTGATGTGTGAATCACAGATTGAAAGAAGAGAGAGATTTGGTAATAGGCATATCACGTAACCAAATCTGAGTCTAAACCTTACGAATCTTAAACTAAACCGTAACAGAGTAAGACTGTAAGAAAAGTGAATAGAGAAACTTGTCGAATTTGAACCTGGCAATGCAAAGAAGGAGAAGACGGTGACGGCGAGACGAAAGACGGCCGAGCAAAAATGACCGATGAATTTTGGGTGCGCAATGATGATGAGGAAGGTGAGATTAAGGGTTTTAGTTAAACCGGCTGGTTTTGATTGAAGTCGGTTACTTTTGGTTTAGGTTTTGATATTTTTGTGGTCAGAACTCGAGAAGTCGGTTTGTTTAGTACTAAAAAAATAGAATGTAATGAAAGAGAATATGCCACTGCATCTACACTACCGTGGCATCTCCACCAGAGAGAAAAGACCGGTATAGATACTCAAGAAACTCTACAAGAGTCAGAGTCTCTCTCTTGAGGTTCCAATGCGTGTAGAAGCTATGGTTGACCATTGGGTGGAGACTTCCATTGACTTGAATCGTGGCTCGTTCTTTTGAGTCAATGCATCTCATCTTCCACCACCACCAAATTCCATTGATCCAATCACGTTTTGGTTTTCGTTCCACTCAACAATCAGCTATGTTGTTTTTTTTTTTGGATAAACTCTATCAGCTATTGCTATAAAATGGACTAAATACCATAATATCTGATTCGAATTTATATATCTTTTGACTAATATTAAAAGATAGATCGATGTAAACTATTTGGACCGAATTCGAAATTCAGATTTGCCAAACAATGAAAATTAATTCGCAATAAAAATCTAATTCAGAACTAATGTAGATACACGTTGAACCATAAAAGATTACCACTAAGCTATGATTGCTTGGTTAGCTATGTGGTATTATATGATCCATGTTAACCCCTTTTTTTTTTTCTTTTGTTACCCAATCATGTAAACCTCATGGCTGATCACACAACCTCTGTTGTAAACCAAACTCCAAGCATGCACAAAAAGTCCTCCTCACTTAACTCGTTGTTTTTTTTTTAAACCTACCTTAGCTTGCATCACAAGCAAAAAAAGAAACGCTCTAGCTATAGTTTAGCCAAGTAAAGAATCTCTCTTCTGATATGACGAGATTATTACTCTCTCCAGTGTTGATGTCTCTCTTCTTATTATCACTCTCAGCTATATGTTCAGCCACTGTGGAAAACGCGGCGGATTGTGTAGCGGTTGGAACGCTGATTTCATCGTGCACTGAGTTTGTGAATTACGGGTACCCGGATCCTATACCCGGTTCAAGCTGCTGCGACGCGATGACAGTCCTAGGAACCTACTCCGATTCTTCTGACAAGAAACGGTGGCTTTGTAACTGCTTCATTGACCTCATCAATGTCTATAACTCAAACGCCACAGCCATCTCTACCTTGTCTGGCTTCTGCGGCATCGTTTTGGGCTTCACCATCGACCCTAACACTGATTGCAACTTGTGAGTTACTCATCATATTAAACCTTCTCTAATAATATGTTATCAATGTTAAAAAAATCAGTAGGTAGTAACTTGCACTTAGTAGAAGATTAAGGACTAGACGGATTATTGGAAATTAAATGGGGATTAGTCGTTAACTAATTATTAATTTATTTTTATATATTTTACTTTTAAGTTTAATTATATAACTATTCTAACAAATTATAAAAGTTTGATATAAAAAAAATAGACAAATTTGTGGATTTGAATTAAGATTATTGCTTAATTTAAAGAACGAGATCAATTTAGATTAATTTAAACGGATACAAATTGTTTTGACCGATTTAGAATGGTTTAAAGCGATTTGAGTTGTATAAATTGAATTTTAAGTAAATCGTTTCGATTATGGCAAATTTACTCCCTAAATAGACGCATAGACATCTTAACCCGATTTTTAGAACATTGATATATATATATATATATATATATATATATATATTATATTCATTCATAACATCTTAATTTACTTTCTCTTTTTTAGCATTCAGTGAAGGGCACTACAAACAGTTGAAGAGACGCAAGTTTTTGGAGGCTAGGTGTGGATCAGACTGAACAGATTGTTTATTAGTGTCTTAAATCTAAACGAATATGTATTAAACTCATAGTTCTTGTCTTGTTAAAATCAGTAACGAACATTAATTACATCGGTTACTCTAGAGTTCGGTTTTGATTGAACATTAATCAAGAAAGATAAAAGAACAGAGTTGCGTGTTCCTTCTTATGCAAGCAATCGAAACTTGTTAATAAAAGAGTGTAAAATTTACACATTAAAAACCATAAAAATCTAAACAAGAAACGAAGAACGCATCCTTGTCTTCTCACTCTGGTTCCGATTCAACCGTTCAGAAGCATCTCCTCCGTAGTAACCAGGGCTTCCAACGTCCAAACTCTGCTCCGCAACCGTTTTGTAGTAATAATACTGTCCCTGAACAGATCTCTTGGTCTCATCACAGACCTCAAGTCTCTGTTTAGGCGCGCTTTGTGACCGTACTTTAGCTTTGTAAGACTCAGTGTTAGCCATGTAGTTCGGGTGGTAACCTGAGTAGTAATAGTTATTACATCCCCAAGAATACTCACTTCTTGTTGTCGTTGGCGTAAACGGAGTTCTTCTCCTTGAGCCACTAGACCCAACTTGAGGACTATTCTCAGTACTTCTCGGAGCCAATAGAGATTGTTGTCTTTTCCTCGGAGACTCATTGTTTCGTAGAGGCTTGGGATGATGTAGACGTGGCTTCCAAGTATCAACTTCTAGGATCTTGTCTTGGTCTTCTTCTTGCCAGTCTACACGTTTGGAGTGGCCACGGTGGTCTGTTGATGAGATGACTTCAGCGTTTGAGAGGGAGCGTGTGTGGAGGGAACGTGGAGAAGGAGTGGAGGAAGGGAAGAGTAGAGCGGTTGAGGAGTGGAATGAAGCTGAGGAGTGAGAGGAACGAGAGGCTCGTGTACGAGCTTGAGCTTGGAGACGAACTAGGGTTTGCATTCTTCTGAACATATCTGCTGTTTGCTTTCTTACTATGTGTCCTCTCACTAATGCTTGAAGCTTCACTAATGCCTTTAGTGCTCTTAGTGCCCTCCTCGACTATAAACATTTTTAACATTAACCAAAGTAAAAATATCAGTTCCCACAGTAAAATCAACAAGACATAGGTTTTGATTATGTGTTTTTATTTCATGTATCATCTTAAGCAAATGAATTTGTCAAGTCTAGTCAATGTTAAAAGCAAAATATCAAGAGTATTTGCGTTTACTGTAGTTTACAAGAAACTGTAAATTTTGTTAACCCAAAAAAAAAAGAAACTGTTTTGCTCAAAAAAAAAAAAAACAAGAAACTGTAAATTTTGTTGAACTTTTATCACATGTAACACAAAGTGAAGCAAAGATAGCTTTTGAACATACATTTAAATGATTGTTGGTTAAAATGTAAATGTTTTTGAACATGCAAAGCCTCTTTCTTAACTTCTGTTAAAATGATAATTGACCTCTATAGTCACTGGCTCCACCAATAATCAAAAATTGAGTTTGCTTGAAAGTGAAATAAAAAAAAACAATATGAAGCGAGTTTAATCATTTGTTGAAGACATAATCATGGTTTTGCCAACTAATTAATAACAAAAAAACAAAGGGGGAAAAAAGGATTACTGGAATTATTCTATTTTGCTTTTAGTTTTCCAACCACTTCCACTTGTACCAAAAACTAGTTTTAGTAATTACAGAGCCCACCACCATTTTGCTAAAGTATGTCTCAAGGTCAAGTGTACACACACACGAATGAGTTCTTATTTTCACATTGGTCGAGATTCGAGAAACATTAGATCTCGGAAAACTCGATTTAGAGCATTTCCAAATTCCGTGTTCTGAACTTTTATGTTTGATAAAAAAAATCCACCGATAGGAACTTGAAAAAGTGTTACCTAACATGGTTTAACAAAAACAAAAACTTTACAAGTAAAAAAAGGAAGATAAAGTATTCAACTTTGAAGTTCATGTAAAAGAAAAAATAAAGTTGCTCCTAAAGCAAAAAAAAACAAACCCATGTGTGATAGATAATAGTAACGCTAATCCGTGTTATATATTTCCATATAATTATCATAATCTAAAAACAAATTGGCCTCTTTTACAACTCTAAAGTCAGTGATTCATCAAACCAACAACACTAATGTAATATATAAAAATTCTGAAAAAAGCTGGTAGGTCCTTCATAAGGAGTGAAGAAAAATGTAACATGTTTTGGGAAGAAACTAGCCATATAAATTATTGTCGGCAAGTGTATAAAGTTTCCAAGAATCTTCTTCATTTCAAAATTTCTTTGTCTTCTTCTTCTTCTAGACTACTATCATCTCTTTCTTTGGGACCATCCCCAAAAAAAAAAACATAAATCTATTTCCAAATTTTAGTTTTTTTTTTAAAAAAATTCAAACTTTATACGGTGGAGAAATTTTAACTAACCAGATAACCACGAAAAGCAGATTGTATCTTCACCGCCGCAAGATACTCCTGAGCCCACCGCCGGTTACTCCCTCCACCGTTCCTCCCACCGTTTCCACTCGTGAGCCTCACTACCTCCGCCGCGGCATGAGCAGCAGCTAGAGCAGCTTCCGCCACCGCAGCAGTCGCAGCCGCTACAGCTATCGCGTGTTTCTCTCCGTTTTCCTCCTCATTCACAGGTTCCGTCGGATACGAACGTCTCTTGCTTGAACTCGAAGTCGCCGGTTTGGAAGATCTGGCGGTGAAGCTCCACCTCCGTCTGTTACTCGTCGAATCTTGCTTCTTACTACCGAAGAGTCTCCCAAAAAAGCCCATTTTTCATCGCCGGAGGTTTTAGTGAAGAGTTTTTGTCGGAGATTATAAAGTACACTTCATGTTTGTGTTATTACATAACGGCCGGTCTTATTATATATACCAGATTGGGGAGAATCTACCACGCGCCTTTAGTTACACGCGTTTTTCCAAAAAGGCTTTTTTTTTTTTTTTTGGTTTGCTTGACTTTAGATAAGTAAGGAGGAGTTGTTAAAGTCAATAATGGGCCTGACTAGACCGTACCAGATCTTTGGTCTGTGACTCTTTGATTCGGTTCAGACCATTAAATACTTAAGACGTCATATTTATTTATTTTTTTATTTAGGAATGTAAAAAACTGATTAATTGAATTAAAATAGAGTGTATAAAGAGAATAATTGGGAGGACGTGTCATTCTTTTGAAGCCCATGATTCACTGCACACTGCCAGCTTTATACTTTGTCTTTCTCTTTTCCTCCAATGGCTGCAAAACTTGGAAGTATATTTTGTTTTAGCTATAGGCCATATAGTTGTAACATGCATTGTTGTTAATAACTTGTTATTGTGGTGGCATAATTAAACTCTTGGACTTTACTTATCTTCAAGTTTAACCTCAATTAAAAGGGAGAGATTAATCACCAAATTAGCTCAGCTTTGTGTTTTATTAGTCTATTTCACTTGTTAAGTCATCATCCTTGGTCACTAGGGTGCAGTTTAGAAGTAGAGTCTATAAAAAGGAAAAATAGCAGGGAATATTCCAAGTTATCACACTAGCTATGCTCTGATAACGATCGTCTATTACAGGTATCATAATAAATGCAATATTTGAGGTCGTATTCAGCAATCAGCACTAGGTCAGGTGCAGTTTATAGACATTCTAGCATTTAAAACACACATAATTATCTCCAAGCTATTACACTAGGTGATGATCCAAAACAGTGTATTGTGCTGAATCTAGGATTTAGCTATAGCTTTGCCTTGAATAGCTTTTTTTTTTCTTGTTCTCATGTTTGCATCTTCCAGCGAGGCCAGAAAATAAACTCTTTTGTAAAACGGTACAATATTGATTACAAGGGATGAGTTCTTAAAGAACAGTCTTCACAAAATCACAAGCTTAATCTAAACTATAAGAACCACATCACATTGGAGATGTTAACGTTGATGAACCTCTTCATGAGTTTCATATGCCTAAGAGAGATCTAGTCATTAATACTCAACTCTGTACAAAAAGATAACATGATTAGGAACGACTAACTATCATCATCTCCCAAAAGAACCTCATGCCTTTCAAAGATATCCCATGCTTTCATCAACCACACTGCTAGAAAAGACGTTGTTCGCAAAGTTGATAGATGAGTTAGAGACCATACTGTCCTGGTTTTGGCTCTGGTCTAGCTCCTTTGTTGCTCTGGGATGGGCTTCTTGATGGTGAATAGCCTCAAGAAAGTAAACAGACAGATACCTGCACACACCACAAAGATCACATTGCCATCCATCCTGAAAAATTACAAGAGTACGTTTATATTAGTTGACATCAAGTATGCATCCCACTGCACGACCATAACTCGTAAGCAAAGGGCATCAAGCGAACCAGAGCATGAAATAATTGCAAACTATGAACCAGAGCATTCAAGAGAACCATACACCACTCCTTTCTTAGTGGATCCGCCCCTGCTATGGGTCACGGATATACAAAAAGACTGAAAGCAAGATTCATATCCGTGTGGATGTCAAGAAACAATATATAATTTAATTTTGTATAGTTCCATGACTGAATCTGAAACATTGCTTTCTTAAGTCCATCTTTTTACCATTTGATCACAAATTTCTGGACAAGTCTTGATTGCTAAACTACAGTTCTAGCATTTTTGCTATTATATAATAGGTTTGTATTTTATTATTTTAATATCAAGATCAAAATTATTTTCCTTAACTTTCCTTTCTCATGAAATCACATTATATAAATATTATTACAAATATCGTTTTTAAACATTGTAAAATTTCCCTTTCTATTATATATGTTATTGGTACAAATTAAAAATGAAATTAAATTAAAATCTTATCAACAGAAACTACCAAATAAAAAGAAAATAAATTTAATAAGAGTAATTAAATATATTATTTTAAATTTATTAAGGATGTCTCTATAATTAATCATTGTGAAAATTAAAGTGAGCACGATACGTAAAAAAACTGATTTCTCAAATAATATTATAGAGATGATGATGTAAAGAAGTGTCACTACTCGAATTCAAACTGCATAACTTGATTTTTGACCAGCGCTTAAAAAACGCGAATACTATTTTTATTGTTTTATCTACAGATGGATCGATAAACATTTTACTTTGATGATATAAAATGTTACTATCTAATATAACTTTTTAAAATTAATGCAGATTTTAATTTATTATTATCATCAATGTCTAAGTAAACGTATTGTATGTAATTATTTAGTTTTATTTTAGGAAAAAAATATCAACTAACTACGTCTGGTGCTGGAAAGCGGATCAAACTCGTCCCGCCCAATCCGCCTCGCCCGAAAAGAAAATATATTTTATTTGCATCCGTTCCACTTAATTTTGCGGTAATCTACGAGATCCGCTGATAATTATGAAATAATAAAGATAATTATTTTTTAATTTTTCTAAAAGATAATATTAAATAATATATTTTTAATTAAATTTAATCAATACTTTTAAAACATAAACATTCTGTTTAATGAGTTTTTTTATGTTTTCTAAAATTGTCCTTAATGATATGAACAAAAATTTTTTTTCATTAATGGCAATATGGTCTTTTGGGTTTTGGGCCTAAAATAATATAATAATGAGTTTCATTAATGGGTTAAATTCACTTTCTAATTATTTCATTAATGGGTTAAATTCACTTTCTAATTATTTATGAAGTTTCTTTCAAAAATAAACACATCAGTCTTAATTGGCGTAATTAGAGTAGTAATTTTGATATTAGCCCGCTGGTTGACCCGCCACGGAGCAGATCGATCGATTTACAAAAATTTAAGTTGCGGGTGCAGGTCAAGTGTATTTTATGCGAGAAGGATGCTGGTTTTTCTAATTTCAATTGCGCATACCCGGTATTCCGCAAAAATAATTTTTTTTAAAGTTTATTTTTCAAAAATATACTAAATTTCGTTAAAAATAATTCTATTGTTGAAATATTAAAAAATTAATTAAAAATATACTATTTAATATTATTTTTTAGAAAAATTAAAAATAATTATTTTTATTGTTTAGTAATTATCCGTGGGTCTTGCAGATTACACGCAAAATTAAGTGGGACGGATGCATATAAAATATTTTCTTTGCAGATCGGGCGGAGCGAGTTTAACTCGCTTCCCAGCACCAAGCGTAGTTAATTAATATTATTTTTACAAAGTAAAAATACACAATTACATACAAGATATTTACATAGATATTGATGATAACAATAAATTAAAATCTGCATATTTTTTTAAAGTTATATTAGATAGTGATATTTTATATCCTTAAATCAAAAGACTATGTAGATAAAATGGTACTCGTGCTTTTTAAGCACGGGTCAAAAAACTAGTAATTTTTAATAAAATCAAAATTCTGAACTCTAACTACACCAATTAAGGCTGGTGAGTTTATTTTTGAAAGAAACTTTAGAAATAATTAGAATGTAAATTTAACTCATTAATGAAACTCATTAGTATATAGACTCAGAAAAAGACCAAATTGAAATTAATGAAAAATTAATTTTGTTCATAAAAATAAAGGTATAGTTGGAAAACATAAAAAAAATCATTAAATATAATGTTTATTTTTTAATGGTATTAATGTGTATCTAGCTTGAAAGAAGAATCTAAGAGTTGTTAAGCTTTAATTAACTCCAGCTTCATAAAAATAAATATTTCTGATAAGAATCAAATATATATCCAATGATCTCTACCACAACCAATTAAATAAAAACTGGCATCCAAGTTTGGATATGATGAGTAATAACAACATCAAAAATCTGTTATAATCCTAAGCAACACCATACCACAATGATAAAATAATGCTAATTAATGTAAATGTTTAACTAAACAAATTTGCGATAACTTTTTTTAATTCACGTCCTTCATCCTTTTTTTAATTCACGTTCTCCAGAAACTTCATGAAGTTTTCATCGTCACAATCCTATAACACATATACAAAACACCAAACAGTGAGTAAATTTTATATGAGAAGTTGGAAGTCCTGTATTGCTTCAAACGTTCGTAAGTATCAAGGTAATTAGGTTTCAAACAAAATTTATGAAAAACCATGTTACCTGATCGAATAACAATGGGAGTTTCATCGAGTCTTCAACATCATGTTTCTATATGCAAAAGATAATCAAATATCAGTTACTTTTCATGTCATTTTACATTAATTTAAGATACATAAACGGATCTATAAGTGATAGAAACTAGAGTTTACCTGATTTGTAATGTTCATGTCCTGATTAGTAGGAACATACATTTCCGAATCAACAGCAAGAGAGTTCAATGTTTCTTCATTATAGTTACCCTTCAAACAAATCATACATTTATGTATATATAGTTAAGAAAATTTCAATCTATCTCGTATATATACACATGTGCATATATAATTAAGAAAAGTAAAATAAACATGACTTACGTTATTAAAACTCCGATTACTAATGTCTAGAAGAGGATAAGCAGTAGACACCTCAGGATTTTCACCAGTCGCATTACCTTGATGCTGCTCAAAATCATGCATGTATATATGAATCAAAACATTATGTTCATATATGTACAAAAAAAGTTAAAAAGGTAATACCAAGGTACCTGATTATGATAAAACTGCGAGTTAATTGGATCGCCATAAAACTCGTTGATGCCATAATGATCATTAAATATTATTGGATTCTCTAGAACAGGAACCACACCACCGATTTGAGCATTATTCAAGTAATTATGTGGCTGATTATTGTCAAAGAACGATGGCAATGCAGAAGGAAGCCTTGAAGTTGAACTTCCATGGTTATTGATATTGCTGTTATTGAAGTTCCAGTTCATGCCACCCAAATTTTCACCAAGAGATGCATTACCATTACCATTACCATTACCAGTACTATGAACTTGTATCCCACCAAGAGAACCACTATCAGTACCATAAACTCTCATTCCACCAAGAGAGCAATTAGCATTACCATGAGCTATACCTCCATCAAGGGTGCCATTACCATTACCGGTATCATTAACTCCATGAACTTGTATCCCATCAAGAGAGCCATTAAGATTACCATAGACTCCTATTTCATCAAGAAAGCCATTACCATTACCTTGAACTCTTGTTCCACCTAGAGAACCATTACCAGCACCATGGACTCTTATTTCATCAAGAGAGATATAACCATTACCTTGGACTCTTGTTCCACCTAGAGAGCCATTACCAGCACCATGGACTCTTATTTCATCAAGAGAGCTATAGCCATTACCTTGAACTCTTGTTCCACCTAGAGAACCATTACCAGCACCATGGACTCTTATTTCATCAAAAGAGCTATAACCATTACCTTGGACTCTTGTTCCACCTAGAGAGCCATTACCAGCACTATGGACTCTTACTTCATCAATATATCCATTACCTTGGACTCTTGTTCCACCTAGAGAGCCATTACCAGCACTATGGACTCTTACTTCATCAATATATCCATTACCTTGGACTCTTGTTCCACCTAGAGAGCCATTACCAGCACTATGG